CTAGAAGCCTTAAAGCTAGTTAGTATAATAACCTTTTAATAAATTATTTAGTAAGAATTACTTCTTTTAGTATAAAATTTCCTTATTTAGTATAAATAGAAATTTATTTCTTCTTATAAATTCCTTATAAATCTATAGAATAATATATTTAAAGAATAAATATAACCTACTAATTAATATTAGTATTTCTAAGGATTTACTAGATATTTATTAATAGAAATATATAGTCTTTATATATAAGATCTAGATTATTAGGTAGGGCTATAATTATTATAAAAGGGTCTGATTTTTATAATAATCTATAGTATTTAATAAGGCTTTTTATAGCTATAAAAGGCCTTATAAAATACTATTAGAAATACTGCTTAAGGTAGTAAAAACTCTATATTCTAATTAACTAATTAGATATACTAGATTCCTAGGTTGCCCTGCGGTGGAATCCGGTTATTCCCAGTGGTTCTAGGCATTGTTAGTTAGCCCGGATTGTGTAGCGATTCTAACAATAATTATATATTCTTTAATAGTTTTAATTAGGTAAAGCTCTTTATTATAGAGGTAAGTCTATTATATTAATAAAATCTTCTATATCTAATTTATTAGGGCTATAAAGAAACTAGCTAAAAATTATTTATATTTTAGAAATAAATAAAAGTATAGAGATGCCTAATCTTATATTCTATAGAATTTTATCTTTAATAGAATATTATTCTCTTACTAAAATAGCTATAATAACTATTTTTATAATATTTAATAGCTTATTAAATAAATATAAATAGAGCTTAGTAAACTATTCTACTTAATATTCTATCTAGATATATTTAATTAGTAAGGCATCCCTTTAGTACTATAAATAAAAGTATAGAGCTCTCTAATATTCCTTTAGATATTTACTAACTAATACTTAATAAGTCTATTTATAATATATTAGTAATTATAGAGAAAATAGGGGATTAAGTTATTAATAGCTATTATTTAATAATTTACTAATAGTAGGTTACTTACCTTTATTTAAATATAAAGCTTCTTTATCTCTTTAACTAGAATTATTAATAAACTTTAATTAATAAAAGTAAGAATAAGAAAGTCTTATTTATACTTTACTTTATAGGTATAATTATAAATAATATATATTTAATAATCTAAAATATAAACTTATTTTTAAGGGTAAAGTATTTAAGGAATAAATATATTATTTTAAAATATCTAACTAAAAAGAAGAGAACTAGAATATACTTAACTTAAATAGTAAGTTTAAGTCTAATAATTTTAAAAGTAAGTATAATTCTATTTTCTAAAGTAATTAACTATTTATAGAGTATAAAGATAAAGGTAAAGAAGGTATTAAAGATAATAAATCTTAATATATTTAATTTATAATACTTATTTCTAAAATTTATTTAATAAACTTATATATATTAAGGTAAGGGTTATTTAATAGCTTTATAATAAGAACTTTTAAATAAGTTTATTAAATAACTAACTATTTTAATAACTCTTAAGTATTTATTTTTAATTACTTAGAGTTTAAAACTTCTTTTTTAAAAGGCTAAAAGGGTATAGCTAGAAATACTTTTAATATTAAGTAATTTATAAAAGAAGTTAAATATAAAACTAATAATAAGAAAGGTTATATTTATAAGTAATTTATAGAAGAAATTAAATATAAAACTAATAAAGAGAAAGGTTATACCTTAGAAAATACTAGAGATTTATATAAAATTCTTTATATATAAGGAATTTTTAAAGGTATATAAGTGCTATTTTAAGAACTAAGTTCTAAGGTAAAATAGGTTATTTTAGTAAAAGATATATTTCTAATTAATAAGGGTAGGCTAAAAATTAAATAAGTAAGAATAAGCTTTTTTAAAAGAAAGGAAATTAATAGTAAAAGTAATAGCTATAATAGTTTTATAAGAGTTAGTTTCTTTATAATAGGAAATTAATTAGTAAGCTTACTTAATAGGTTTAATATTTAATAAGCTAATTAACTAAAAGAAGCTATAAAAGGTTTTACTTCTTTTATAATAGTAAATTAATATATTATTCTATCTTTAAAAAGGGGAATATAGTTTCTAGTATTTATAATAAAGGGAATTTTTATTACTAAGAAAGTTATATTTACTATACTTATTATTAATACTATATTTATATTAGTTATTATACTAGAAGTTATATTTACTACTCCTATAGTTATAATAATAGGTTCTTTAGTAATTATTTTAAAAGATATAAATTATTTATATTTATTTTTAAAGTAAAAATTATTTTTTAAATAAATATATTTTATTTTCTATTTCTTAATATTTAGTATAATTATTAGTTAAGAACTAAAATCCTAATATTATTAAAGGTTAAAGTAAAGTAATATAAAACTATATTTAAATTAGTATAGATATAAAGGCTATATTATAGTTATTTTCTAAGATACTTAGTAATTTCTTTAATAAATAAAGAGTATTAATTCTAATAATTAATCTATAAATAATAGTTTCTTTAGAGTATTTAAAATATAAAGGTCTCTTAGCTAAAAGTTTTTCTTTAATATATTTAATAAAAGGGTTAATTATAAGACTTAATTATTACTATTTATAATTTTATATTAAAAGCTATACTTAACCTAAAATTTATAAAGAAAATAATTAAATTATTTATTAAATCTTTAGTAGTAAAAAATTAGAAGTCTTACTTACTAAACTAAAAAAAAGGAATTACTTAAAAGCCTTACTTACTTAGTAAGGGCTTATATATAACTAATAATTAAAATATTAAAATAAAAATTTTAATTAAGGTAATTACTACTATATAGTGCTTTATAAATAAAAGAAAGAAAAAGAGAAGAATAAAGTAATTACTTAAAGAGCTAAGTAGCCTTAAGCTAGAGCTCTATATAGAAATATAATAATAGAGAAGCTAAGCTAGGTCTATTATAGTAATAGGCTAAGGCTACTATGTGAGGTGCCCACCCACGTGACCACAGGCACGTGGGTAAGGGTGCCGCAACATTTTCTCTGCGTCCCCATCTGTTGTCGTTGTCAGACTACTTTTGTGGCCGTCTTGTTGTCTGCGCGGGTAATTCGGGATCGAAGATGAGACGAGCGTCAGAGAGATACGGAAGATCCTGGAGTCTTGGCCGCGTCAGAGCGATTACACGTTGGCACAGGTTGCAATACAGAATATTTGGTACTACAAACCAGAGTGATCTTACTTGCTTGCAACTGACGTGTCAGGCGAAACAACGAGCTGAAATTTTCAGGCGTGACGAAGGCTCATATGCAGCATCCGGGGCTCCAACAAGAAACATTGAAGACATTGCGTGTCTGGTTCGTGTGGCGCTCGAGGCGCCGACTGTGCCATGCTGGCTGGGTCGTTCCTGCCTTGCCTTGACGAGGCTTGGCATATGCAGGCACCAGATGAACATGATCAGCACAGACAGACACAACATGACATGACACGACACGACACCAGCGCAGGAACTCGTGCAGAGTCTCAGTTCTCGACGAATGACACAGAGTCAAGGCCAAGTGACTTCAACGTTTGACGAATTCCTCCTAGGTTCCTCAGCAAAATGACAGGCAGTAACTCGAAGGCGTGACAGTCTGAAAATCTCGACTCTTGACAGTGGCACCGACCCAGTATCGTTAGCAATATACGTGCACGAAACGGCAAGGAAGCGAGACATGACGGGCTTTCTTTACGCTCGGGACAAAAACCGTGGGTATAATTTCAAATAATTGATACTGACCCTTGGCACTTATTTTTTTCTTTCATGTAGGGCAAGGATCCGCATGGCCTTATCATGATTGACCTTGACGACTGACCGAGTATTCGTCCGATTTGAGGAGGCTGACAGATGACAGGAACATTGGCTCCTCGCAAATATATTGCTCGCTTGTCAGCCCACGTCATGGTCATGTGCTGAAGATTAAAAAACAATAGCATTGATCGCGCAACAGGCCTGGTCTGGCCTGGCCGAGACCTACACCAGGAACACATTCCTGGCCTACATATCGGGTCGCACGACGAGAAGCCCGGTCAGCTTGAAGGATGGAGGATTGATGCAGACAATGGACATGCGCACGCAGATCGAGACGGCCGCGTTGGAGGGACGTCCAGTATAGATCGAAGACCCTAGAGTCAAAATTATCATTTCCAGCATTGATGCTGTGATAGAAAAGGAAAAAAGCAGTGGCTTGTCGATTTCTGAGACAAGATTTGAACATAATGAGGGGATTCGTGCCGCCTTGCTCCAACGACTTGAACCATTAAGACCGTTGTCCAGAACCATTGCTATTTTTTACGGGACATCTTTATTCAACAGACACCTCGGTCAATCACACAGGCATGTTGGTGACAAGATGTCAAAGTTGATATTAAAAACACGGCGTTGACACTGCCATATGTTTTGAAATCGCCTGGCTACGGCATGGAGGGGATGAAGACGCGGCAAACACTTTTCCACGTCACGGAAATATGGCACGGCAAGATGAGGTACTAGTAGAGCAAATTCAAACAAGGACTAGTGAGAATGTACATGAATGCTCGCGATGTGGTTAAGAAGCCGGACCAGAGCTTCAATAATATGAGACGCTTATATATGAACATCCTTGTTTTATTTGTTATGCATGTTTTCGTAGTGTGCGCGCTGCAAAATGTAGGTTCCTTAATGAGTAACTGCTATTGTCTTGACAGCACAGGCGACCTCCACACTGGGCGAAGTGGAGTCATGGAATTATTCCCGGTTCGCCTAACTAATGAACCTAGTTAAAAGATCATGCTAAAAATAGAATACCGAAAACAACTCTAAGCGCTAATCAAGCAGACTAGATAACTTGTCGGAAATCTATGTCCCCGAGCGCGAAAAACCTTTCTCCACTTGCGGGTAGTGATGTGAAGCATTTGATAGTTCGCCGTGACAACAAAAAAAGAGCACGAGATGGATGAACCGAATGCTCGACCCGCTGCACATGTATCGCCGCGGGCAGGGCAGCAAAAAGAAAAACCGACACCTGCAGGATTCGAACCTGCGCACACGAATGTAATGCCTAGCAACTGTGAGTGCAATAGCAGGGCATCGCCTTAACCACTCGGCCAAAGTGTCTTTGGATGGTAGAAATGCTTGCTAAACTTCACGATGATACTATTCAACTTGGTGAATGCCGAATCTATACATGTTCATGTGACGAGCAAAGGCCTCATGGTCATGCATGTAAATAATTGTTACAGATCTAGCTACCGCAGAGATCAGGCGGCGAGTCAATCAGGCAGTTAACACCATGTACGAGTGACCCATGCCCGTCAATGCGAGCGAACAATCAGTATTGTACAGTACATACCAGCCAGCGCAGGTACAAGCGTGCTGTACTTCCTGACAGGCGCAACATCGGAGCAAGGTGACCGAAAAGAAATCAGCACGCATCAGTGTATTAGACTACGGTGTCAACCGCTACAAGGTATTCTTCATTTGCCATGACTTATATCGTCATGGATATTTGATCGCCAAGACACGGGTAGATCACGATGAAGTAGCCGGCGTGTCGCGTAGTATATGTAGTACACGACCATGCATTTGACCACCCGCACAAACACAAACTGAACGGCTTGTGGGTAAAGTAGATGGATGCATCTAGTTTATTGCTGCAGTAGAGATATGTAGACAAGACGGGATGAAAAGAGTAAAATACCCATCCATACACGCAGAGCCGGAGACACGACGAGTCGAGCCATAAAAGAAGAAATAAGCACGCGGCTTCCACAACATACCACCCATTCCGGAAAAGGAAGAAAAGGAAATAGAGAAAAAGGACAAAGAGACAAAATCATTGCATTGGAAATAGAAGAGAAAGCACCTTCGCTCGCCGTTATTCACAGACACCTTTCGAGGTTTCGAGTTGATGCCTCATAGTGTGTAGCCGGTGGCGTCTGCACCAGTACCAGCATCAGAATCAGCATCAGCGCTGCTGGATGCTGTCGGGCCCCAGAGGCGATCGTATACGGGTTTCACGGGCGCGATGCTGCCGCAAATGATGATGAGGAAAAGCTCCATGACGGACCATACGTAGAGGTCATATGTTTTCCCTGGAGATGGTGAGGTCAGTGATGCTGGGACGTTTGCTGAGTGAAATGATGTTATAAAGATTTTAAAAAGTAATGATACAAAAAGATTCAAAAGAATACAGTTTAAAAAAAAGAAAAAATAGAATGGAATAAAATAAAGAAAAGAAAAACAGGGGGGGGGGGGGGACATACGGGTAATGTCCGATCGCGTGGTCAAGCCATACATATACTTGGTCTTGACAGCGGCACAAATGCCAGCCAGAGATCCCAGACTAAGCAGCGCGTATAGGCCAATCTTCTTCCTCACCGTGAGGTTCAGCTTATACAGAAACGTAGCCGGCAGGACCGCCAGGAAGACATCGACGACGATATTCCAGCCTACCCCCAAGCATCAGCACGTACGGAACCTCACCGTTCATACCTCCACAGCGCGCCTCCATTGTTGTAGCCTGCCCACCCGCCAAACCGCACAGCCGCGTCGACGTACCGGAAACGATCAAAGAAAAGTAAACCACGATACGCGGATCCCAGCACCTTTCCCGGCCGTGCCCGGCCACGAGATCCCAGTTCCAAAGCGCCTCTACCCTCGAGCACTGCACGTACATGAGCACGACGTTGGCGACGCTCAGGGCGAGAGCCAGCGCGACGACGAAGCACAGCAGCCACTTGCGCCAGCAGGTCGCGGATCCGACGACGCGCCAGAGAAGGATCCCGATGGAGAGCTTGCCGGTGGCGAAGCCCAGGACGATGAAGGGCTGGCCTATATACGTCCATTTGAGGATCCGGGCACGCTCGGCCGCGTCTTCTCCCGGGTGGTTGTAGGTGTGGCGGAGGGCGCCGACGGAAATCGCCTTTGTGAGGATAGACACGAAGAGGACGTGGAGGATCTGGTATGCGGAGGAGAAGGCGTTAACTTGATTTTACGAAAGGGGGTTTTTGCATTTGCATCCCTTGTGGGTTTTTTGTAATAGAATATAATATTATTTTTTTTCCTTTTTTTTCTTTATTCTTTTTTCTTTATTCTTTTTCTTCTCTTTTCTTCTTTAATTCCCTTTTTTCTATTATGTTTATAAATTTTTACTCCTTTCTTACCTCCTTACTTACTATTCGTAGTATAACTCATATTGAGAAACAAGGCATTATTATTAATATATAGTCAAGGGAGGAGGGGGAGATATACCAAAGCAACAAGCATAACCCAATCATCCAGCCCAACCTGCCGTCGGAAATGCCGTCCGAGAAACCGCAACCCGACGACCATGACGCTCACGGCAGCCGTGGCCCAAAACAGAATCAAGAGCTGCGTGCTCTGATCAACAGGACCGCCGTTGGGCGGTAATTCATCGTCCAACATGGATTGAAGGAGCAAAATGACATTTTTTTTTTTTTTTAATTTTCGAATCTTGTTGGTTTGGTTGCTTGCTTTTCTTAAATACTGCTTAGGCAGACGTGAAGAGGAGGCTAGGAAAAGAAGAAGAAGAAGAAAAAGAGGAAAGAGAAAACAAAGTCTCATAAACCTATGACAAACGTGGTTAAGTCCTTTTGTTTCATGACTGGAAGTATGGGTTCATGGGTTGGGAAGTTTTCATTTAAGAGGACTCGGGGGGTGAAGAGGGTGAAGATGGCTGAGAGGTCAAGATATAGATGAGATGGAGCGCGAACAGGTTCGGTTGAGGAAGAAAGGGATTTCAAAAGAATGGAAGAAAAAGAAAGGGGGCAGGGGCTGGTTCAGGAAACAGGGGGATATGAGAAGAAAAATAAGTTATTTCCGCTCAAAACGGGCCGGGCCGCCTCAAAAAGCTTGAGATGTTGACATGACATCTCTGGATGGACTATATCCAGGCACAGCATATGCAGATTGCTACAGATTGAAGGCAAGACGAGAACGACCCGCGTCGGACACACGGAATGTCGGGTGCATTATGACTAGTTGGCGGGGGAGAGAGAGAGAGAAATGAAGAGAAAGAATGAGGGGTGACATGCTTGTCTCAGGCCCCCCCCCCCTCCCCCCTCGGTAGACTGCACTGCAGGTGTCTTGGCCCTTTTAACTGGGCGGGATTAAGGCCATTGCAACCCTTTCCGGGAAGGCTATTGAGACAAATCACGTCAAGTCTTGTGCCTGAGCATGCACAGTGACGGAAAAATGGTGCTGCATGCTCCATGTATGATGGGAAATTGTCTGTAGGCTGCGTTGCACTGGATGATGTGATGGGCGGCTGAGGATGCAGAATAAGCGAAGGTCGAGTTCGACGCCAATGACGGCGCGGCAGGGGGGTTCCTTGGCCATGAAGAAAATTCAATACATCAACACACACTGTTGTCCGCCCGGCCAGTGCGCGCGCGCCGGACATCCCCTCGGCCGGAGCGCCGGAGTGCCTGGCCAATAGGAGCAGGCTGCGGTGCTGTCTCCTATCTCCTGGGTGGCCCCCTGCGCCCAGCATCCCGATTGCCGCTCGATTGCCGACTCGCTTGGCCGTTCCTGGCTGCGGCGCCTATGCCGCTTGCGTGGATTCTTCCATGTGACGGACGGACGCCCACCGCGAGCGGGTCGCGACTGCCTTGTAGCCGTGCTTTTGCGTTTCCCCCACGGAGCTCATCTCGCCGTCGGCGCCGAGGAGCACGAGTGTGCGAAGATTGTGAGCATCGCATTCCACGACTCTCCGTCTACCTGCTGGGGAGATTGATAAGCCGCATATCACGAACGCTCGAGACTCCGCGGAACAGAGTCACTCGAGCTTGGCAAGTAAAGCACATTCAAAAAGAAAAGAAAAAGAAAAGAAAAAAAGAAAGAAAAAGTGAAACATTGCCCGTCATGTGTCACCGCAGGAAGGTAGCACACCAAAGCCACTCATGCTGGATACTGCAGCTCAAGTGGCTGGACCAATCCAGCCTCGTAACCCGTCAACTCAACAGGCTTGGACGTACCACCAGCGTGTCGCTAGATCCCCCGCACATCAGCACAATATAAGAAAGAAAAGCAACGTGGAAAGTAAAACGCATGTCCGCCGCTGCATCCGGTCATGTTCGTTTCGTCTTATTTCTCTTTGTTCGACGTTGACAAGAAACAAAGAGAGAGAAAAAGAAAGGAAACGAAAAGAAAAGTCTCTCACATTATTCGCCTTGCAGCTGGCACAAAACAAAAAAAAAAAAAAAACTCACCAATGCCATGGCTGTGAGAAAACGCCATGATGCCAGAATTGCGCGCTGCGAATCCGTGCTCGGGTACCGGTGGAAACAAGAGATACTCTGTGCCGAGGCACTCAACATGGCTGCCGACGTCAAGGTCTTTTATAACGTCGACGGTACTCTCCAGCGCGTCAAACAAAACGATCGATTAGCCGCCTACGGTGGAAGCGTGGCTGCGTCTCATCTGTGCCGCGGCCAGGATATCAAAGGCGAGGACAAACGCAAGTCAACCTGCGTACTGCGATAAGATACGTGAATTTCAAAAGTCTGACTCTATCATCAGGAGCGTGGCTCGTCCTACACCAAGAACTTCTGTCGAATGCGCATCTTGCGGACCGAGGATTCGCCCTTGGCCTCGACACATGTATCAACAGGAATAGTAATGTCACCAGCCGTGTATCTGCCAAGATGATGGCCACAACCGTCGAGGCCTTGCTCGGGGCCGCCCACCTGGATGGTGGACTTGATGCGCTTATCGTCGTCATGACCACGTTTCGTCTCCTAGGAGATGATAAATACCTACGCGCGCCGCGCCACTCCCTGGCCATAGTTCTCGACAGATTGATAATATTTTTCAAGAGTAAAAAAAGCAGGACAATGCCTTCTGATAGCCCTGACAAGATGTGACATTCTTCTGGGACTTGAACACGGGCCGCCTATTTGTCACCATTACCGGAGTCCACTCACCTAAGTTGGTAACTCTCACCTGGCCCCTTATGAAACAAAAGAATGCATATATGCTCAACGTCCATGGTCATCTACTTGCGAAGCTTTTTAGGTCGCCATCGTGACGAGCACTCTCGTCCACCTCATTAAGCCACGTAATACTTCTGGCAAGTCAACATCATAGTCCGAGAG